ATTAGGGAATAGGAAACTTAAGACTAACCTGGGCTGTTGTTTAGTGACATTTATGAGGTAGAGAAAGGAAAGAAAGGAAAAAGAAATATTTGGAACCAGAAGTGCAGAATTGAAGGGACCTTGGAGGCTATTGGGACATTTATTAAACACCTACTGTGTGCCAAGCACAGTATTAAGGGCTGAATCGCCACTGTAGGGTACCCTGCTCTGTAACAGTCCCCACAAATGGTCATAACTAATGTGCTTCAATATCTCCAGTGAGGAAGAACCCCCGGCCTGAGGAGGCTGTCCATTCATTCCACTCTTGGATAATTCTAATTTTAAGTCCCCTTCTCTTCACCTTACCCTCCTGGCTTCTGAGAGTAAACTCAACATACACGGCAGCTCTTCCAGCACTCTCCAGTTGAAATGTTCACAGTTCTTCAACTGATCCTTATGTATACAGGGCATGAATTCAAGGCCATTCACCACCTGGGTCACCCACCTCATCTCTCCGGCTTCTCAGTGAGCTTTCTAAAATGTGCTGGGAACTGAGTTAGAACCCTTGTATTCTGATAGGGCAGAGGACAGTCCATCTTAAGTATCATCTAGCTCACATCTTTTGCACAAGACTAGCATGAGACATGTAGACAAATGCCTTGCTAAAATCCAGATAAATTGTATCTGAGAATTTCCTAGGTCTGTGAGTTTATTAATCCTGTAAAAACATACCATGTAAGAGCTAGAAGGAATCTAAGAGATCTAGAACAGGGGTGGGGAACCTGTGGCCTGGAGGCCACATGTGGTGCTCTAGTTTCCCAAGTGTGGCCCTTTGACTGAATCCAGACTTCACAGAACAAATCCCCTTCATGAAAAGGTTTGTTCTGTAAAACTTGGACTCAGTCGAAAGGCTGCATCCAAGGACCTAGAAGGCCACATATGACCTTGAGGCTGCAGGTTCCCTATCCCTGATCTAAAATAACTCCCTCAGAGGTGTGGAAACAGGAGCCCAAAGATGTAAAGTAACCTATCTAGGGTTGTATAGCTTACTAGTAGCAATGACAGAAATAGAAAATAGATATGATATCCAGTGCAATTTTCATAGGACATGATAGAACTGGAAGAAAACTTATTGATTATCTGGTCATAGGATCATAGATTTTGAGTGAAGGGCGCATAGAAAGGTCTTCCTCTCGTTTTACAGAGAAGGAAAATGAGTCCCAGAGAGTTTAAACAATTTGATTTAGGTCACACACTTAGTAAGTAATAGAACATAGATCTGAACCCAGGTCCTTTGAGTACAAATCCAGCACTCTTTCCACTATGCCACACTGCTACCCAACTCATTTGTTTTACAGAGGAAACAGGCTCAAAGCTGTAAGTGTCATTGGCTGAGCCCATTTTGGGACCCAAACAAATTTGAAAAAAAAAATTGTGTATATAATAATCAGTTGTGTCTGACTTTTCATGAACTCATTTGGGGTTTTCTTGACAAAGATATTGGAATGGTTTGCCATTTCCTTCTCTAGTTCATTTTATAGATGAGGAAACTGAGGCAGACAGGGGGGTTAAGTGATTTGCCCAGGGACACACAACTACTAAGTGTCTGAGGCCAGATTTGAACTCAAGTCTTCCTGATTCCAGGCCCAGTGCTCTATCCACTGTGTCACCTAGCTGCCCCATAATAATAGTTCACATTTATATAGCATTTTAAAGTTTATAAATTAAGTCCTTTACTCACCCAAAAAAACCAACCTTGAGAAGTAATATTTTTCTCCATATTGCAGTTGAGGAAATTTGCCCAAAGTCATACAACTAGTGTCAAAGTATTCTATAAACAAGGGCTATTACCGTTACTATTAGCTAATCCAATCCATACCTGAAGCACAAATCCCCAAAACATTGCTTACAAGTGACTATCCTGCTGGGAACCCACTGCCTATTAAGTTAGCCCATTATACTTTCCTACAGTTCTAATTCTTAGGAACTTTTCCATTTTATTGAACTGAAATCTGCCTCTCACTAATTTCACCCAAATGGTCTTGGGAATGTGTTCTGAGGCCAAGCAGCACAAATCTACTTGTTATTACACAACAACCCTTCTGATATTGGAGGACAGTTATCTTGTACCTCCTAAGTCTTTTCCAGGCTAAAAATTCCCAGTTCTTTCAATTGATTCTAATATGGTATGGTTTCTGACCACCCTACTCAGGATATGCTACAGCTTGTCAATGTGCTTCTAAAAATGTCTTTACTAGAATGGAACATAATACTTTAAATGTGGTTTGACCAGAGCAAGATCCAGTGAGACTATCATCCTTTTCATTCTGGAAACTATGTATTTATTCTATTTATTAATTTATTATTTTTTGATTTATTATAATTTATGTAAAATAAATATATTTATTATAATTTATTATATTTATTAATATAGGCTAAGATGACATTATCCCCTTTGACTGCCATATAATACTATTGTTTCATTTTGACCTTGAAGGTCATTAAAATTTCAAGATCTTTTTCAATGAAATGTTGTCTAGTCACATTTCCCCTATTCTACACTTGTGCAATTGCCTCCAATATAGATTTTCTTTGTCTGGTTCAACCAGTCTTTTGAGAAGGGTAGGATCCAAATGAGGTGGTTTCATTGTCATTAATAATGAAACAAGACCATCATAAAATTGCTGACACATCTGCTCCATTTTAGATCTACTTCTTGTCCTCCTGTCAGTTTCCTCTATAAATATACTTAGGAATATGTGACTTAGTTGTATCATACATCAGTCTTTTACAAACTTGACCTCTGTTGCTTTTTATTATTTTATAAGAATGTTAGCCACCATGATGGAGAAGACCTAACACAAATTTCAAGTTGAAAAAAGATTCTCTGTTGATAGTAAGGTCCTTCAGATGCTCCTATTTATAGATGATATCTTTCTGGTTGTATTATACACATATTTACATATATGTATATAAATACATTGTATTGTTATGTTATATTATGTGTGTGTATCCTAAATTTCTCCCAGAACAAAGATCCATCTTTTTACTACCAATATCCTTTCTTTGAACTTTTAAAATAAAGTTCATAGAACTGAATTCATGGCTCTCCCCATCTTGCTTAGTTATTTACCCCGTTGACCATCACAAACTCCAAAATGGTTATGTCCCTGTAACTTCCACTTCACCCACCAGTTCCTTTTTTTTTTTCAGAGTTGGGTCCAAAAAATAATCTCACTTATCATCTCCTCTAAATTTCTGATAGATTAAATTATAATAAGGACAAATCAAGAATTTATCAGATGCTCTATTATTAACAGAGATATGTCTCTAGTAGATAGATCTCTAGAGAGTTTAAATTTCCCATGCAATTCTATTCCACTTCTGTGAAGCTTTGTCATCTGCATTCAGGAAATCATCATCTATTTCTTCCTTCTGGTCAGGTAGTCTGTAGCGTACTGACACTACATTATTACTTTAGTTTCTCCAACCTTCAATCCTTAACCAAAGACTTTTCGTCATATTTGCCTCTTCAAGTCCATGGACTTCTCCACAGACATATGTTTTATGTCACTTATCTAATCTATTCCTTTTGAAAATGGTACATTGGCTTGGCCATATTCTAGTCATGAATAACATCTCACCAAGTTTCTGTGATACCCAATTTATATTGGGTATACCCAATGTATACCTCCTAACATTAAGATATCTAGTTCACTTTATTATTTACACTATGCCCATTTACATAAATATCTGAGATCACGAATATGATTACTGATATTCTTCTCAGATTTTTGTTACCTGTGAATTACTGGGTATGCCCAGTGCTGTTCTTTCTTTGTCATAACCATTACTCTGTATAACATTTGGCTTAGCAAATGTGGGAGGGTGAGCATTCTCCTTCCAATTCCATTTTGAATGATAGAGTCTAAAAAAAGAATCAAAGTTGTTGGCCACCCAAAGGGCATTAGAAAAAGGCTTGGTGGGCATGAATATGCTACAGCATATTAATAACAAAGAACTGTGCAGAAGTGGTGTAAAGGATGTCACTAGGGAGAGACATGAATAGAAAAGGAAGTGAACTGATTTTACAATGTGAATAAGCAATGACCAATGGCCTGTTTATAAGCTCCATCCCACTCTAACTACTGCCAAATCTCCCTGAGTACATTTTTTTTTTTACTCTCCAGTTGAACAAGAGTTCCGACAATGAAGATTTCCCTCTCTTATGTGTGTCTACATACATATGTATTTTTTTCAGGGAAAAACTCATCATTATAAGTGTTGCATAATATCCTAAAGGCTTTTTTTCTCCTCTTATTCAATTTTGATTTTAGTTAATTGGGGCTAATAGGGACAGCATCTATCCAAGATATGGGTACTAATAGATCAGCCTCCTAGGTTGTACATCTAATTGTTTAACATAATTTGAACAATAAACAAGTCTTCATACACTTTGGATAGTTAGTATAGTCACTCTTTACAGTACAACTTCTTTGATAGTGGTAAACACCTTTGTTGACCATATATCTCTGTATTTCATGCTTGATTGATAATTGATAATTATAATGATATTGATAATGATTGATAATGATAACCAGAGGGTAATTATTAATTAGAAATTTTCCAGTCAGACTTGTGATTTCAGTTGTGTAGAAAACTCCTGGTGAGTAAACTCTCTCTTGACCAATGAAGGTTGATATTGGTTCTGCAATTATATACTCATAGAGTTGCCTTGGGAATTCTAAGTGACTTAAGTGACTTGCCTAGAGTTCCTTCACCAGTATATATCAGAGGCAGATCTTGAATCCAGGACTTCCTGACTCTGAAGCCAGCTCTTTGTGTACTATGCCATGCTGCCTCTCAATCAATTATTGACAATAATAATTATTATTAATCAGAGTTAAGTATGAAAAAGAAAAAAGTTATATGAAAATAGATTCCAGTGGGTCAAAAGAATATAATCTATAATACAGTATACAAAGAAAACAGTTGATTTCAAATCATGATGATGATATCTTTATTTTTTAAATATTTAGCAATCCAAAGCAAGTAGACCTAAAAAGAAAAGAAAAACAAACCATTGTAAACATTATTTTTATTGCAGCCTTGTCAAATTTTGATGAATTTAATGACTATTTCCAAATGATGGCCAGTGTTTTATGCATTAAGAAATAAAATTTAATTTTATAATTATTTCAATGATAGGTAATACAAATGGCAGAAATTAACAAAAAAAAGCTTTAGAGACAACATTAAAGGGTAGGTATTATTAAAGGAGACTCTTAAGTTCCAGACCAATCTAAAAAACATGACTTTTATACCCATTTAGAGGACAGATGGGTATAAAAGAAATTTATCACTAGGGGATGCTAAACCACTAACTACAGGAAGCTCATTTGCTACATAATCCCTCTAAAAAACAATTTATATAAACTTCATATAAACCTCTATACTGTTGATAAAAGTAAAGCTACATGGCCATCTTTAAATTGATTAAGAATATCTGACATTATCAAGTTTCTTTATCTAATATCTATCAAAAGTATATCTAAGGTCAGGTTAAATGAAGGAGGTGATATCAAATGATTAGGAAAAGAATGATCTGAGGTCCAGGACAGAATCTGTGCTGATAAGCTTTGGTAGTTTTTATTTTATGTGGTGGTTCATTTTCCCATTTTCTCATTACCTCAGGCCATTTTGAATAGGAACTTCGTGACAATCCTTTGTGAAATGGTGAAATAGTTTTACATATAAACAGGAAAAGAATATATAGATCATCTTCCTAATGATGAGTGCTAAATTCTAGGCCCCATGCAAAACATTCCCCTCATGGCTCACTGGTATTGGAAACATTAAGGTCAGATACTGTGGTTTGTCACTCTTATTATTGGGCATCCAAGTATAGAATGGCAATAGTCTATTAAACAAAGGTGGTGTCCTTTCTACCTGACTTGTTTTGTGGTCTTACCTATTTTAAATGGCTATTCACTGGCTGAAAATCACAGAATCACAATATTTGATAATTGGAAAGAACTTTACTGGCCATCTAGTCCAACCTATATATTAAAGGAATTGCCACTATAACATATAACCCTACAAGTGAACACCCAGGATCTGCTTAAAAACTTCCAGGTATAAGGAACCAGCAATGTGCTGGTAAATGTTTAACAAATGACTCCCTAGGGGAAAAAAGAACACATGCCACATTTTTAAGTTTAATCTGCATTATCAACATTTTCTTCATCACTTTTTTAAGTTTAGAGAAACAACAAAACAAGAAATCAAGGGGGCAGCTAGGTTGCACAGTGGATAGAGCACCGTCCTGAAGTCAGAAGGGCCTGAATTCAAATGTGACCTCAGACGAAACACTTGACACTTACTAGCTGTGTGACCCTGGGCAAGTCACTTAACCCCAATTGCCTAAAAATAATAATAATAATAATAATAATAATAATAATAATAATAATAAATCAAGCCCTAACATGACATTTATTGATTTTGAATGTGTACATGTTCACTGAATATTTAACAGTAGTCTCTTGTAAGCCAATATGAGCTGGGCCCAGCTCATCCCTGGAAAAGGGAACCCACCAACTAAGTAACACATAATTAAGCAATATTTTTTTTAATAATAAAAAGCAAAAAAAAACCCCAGACATTCGATGGTTAAGGGTTCCTAAAAGTATTTTCATTTAAATAAACCTACTCACCCCCACCTCCAGGCAGCACTAACTATAAATGAACACATTGGCTAGAGATTGAAATGAAGGAGGGCGTAGACATAGAAAAGCCTAATGCATGCTCTTTTTTTTTTAACATAAACATTTCTCCAATAGCTTATTCATGTACTCTTTCTTCTATTTTGTAATATAAACAGAAAAAGATGACTGAGAGGAGTGTTATGGTTTTTTAGCTGGTACTAAAAGCTGACTTAATCATGTTATATGTCCCAGAAGATGTATAAAACAAATGCTCTCTGATGGTGGACCACAATGGGCAACTCAGGCAAGGGTGTTTCACTCAGTTGAATCAACTCAGGAAATCTTCAGTGCATGTCCTTGTTGAAAATCCTTCTCCTAAAGCTAAGTAAAAGTCCTTTTGTTAATAGCTGAATGATCGACAAGTGTCTCATTTCATTCCAGAATTGAATATAAACTGCCAGGGGACAGGACTATATCAGGCCCACCTTAGAACATCAAGAAATAGCCAATAATTAAATTTATGGCATCAGATAAATGTATACATATGTCCAAATTATAAGCAGCAAATGCTATGAGCTAGAGATTGTAATGGAAGGAGACAAATTTGACCTCATTGGTATAATTGAAACTCAGTGGGATGGGAACCATGAATACAGTATGCCTTCTGAAAGGGTATATATTATTCAAAAAGAACAGAATTAATCAAAAGAGACATGAAGTAGCAAGTAGCCTTATGTTTTAACAAGATATATTCATGGGAGAAAATATAGGGACCAGAGAGGAAAGAGGTAGGGGGAGAGAATTTTACTTACTAAGCACCTACAATGTGCCGGGCACTGTGCTCAGTGCTTTACAAATATTGGCTCATTTGACCCTTACAGACATGATGGGGAGAGTTTGAGTAAGGATCAACGGAGGGAGAAAAAGAAGTGATATTGCTGTGGGAGTGTGCTACAAACCATCTGAACAAGAGGAAATAATCAAAAAGTTTAGGAATTCTATTAAAAACTTGGGCCAGAGACATGATATAGTTGTTGACAGAGGGACTTCAATTATCCATACATCTGCTGGAGTGCTGTCTGCCAAAAGCAGAAATGTCAATACATTCTTGATTTGCCCTAATGATAATTTCATACTCGAAAGGTAAAGGAAATATCAAAAGGAAGCTATGCTCTATGTGATTCTGCCCAACAAAGAGAAATTGTCTGCTGAACTAAAAATGATGGGAAGCTTAGGAGGAAGCATGTAATAAATAATACCAATTCACCATACAGAAAGAGAGGTAACCTTGGTTTAGCCTGAAATGTACCCTAGAATTTGAAAAAGTAGATTTAGAAGAGTTCAAGAGAATATTGTGTATGATTTTGTTCAGTTATTTTAGTCATGTCTGACTCTTAATGACCCCATTTGGGGTTTTCTTGGCAAAGATACTGGAGTGGTTTGCCTTTTCCAGCTCATTTTACAGATGAGGAAACTGAGGCCAACAGGGTGAAGTGATTTACCTAGGGTCACACAGCTTCTTAAGTGTCTGAGGCTGTATTTGAACTCAGGAAGATAAGTCTTCCTGACTTTAGGCCTGGTACTCTCTCCACTGCACCACCTAGCTGCCCCATTGTATATGATACCCTGGACTAAAATTTAAAAAATGAAATTCTACAAGGGAAATTATCCAAGGAAGAATTGGGAAGTTCTTAAGAATGAAATTCTGAAGAGGAAATGGAAACAATTGGGAAGTACTTAAACTTTGAAGACATTATAGAGATACATGTACATCTTGAGGATCAAACAAGTCCCATAATCCAAAAGTATTTAAAACAATGAATATTTCTCAAATTAAGACAAGCCAGTTGTTAAATAGTAGAACCCCCTACAATATTGTCTTAGCAGCATGGGGAAGGGGGGAAGGCAGGTGAAGCTCAAAGTGAAACTCTTATCATAGAGGGGAAGTCTAAGCTAAAAGAAACCTACATAGCTATTAATACGTCAGGGAATTTAGAGGGTTGGGTTTTTTTTTTGTTATGGGTTAATCATAGAAACAATAAGAAAATTTGTATTCTCATCCAAGAGAATGACTGAAGGGAAGAAAAACCTAATGATTGTAATAGCGAATGTAAATGGAACTAAACTCTACAATAAAATGAAAAAATTAAAAAACTAGATTTAAAAAAAGCTGATCTTTAACAACATTGTATTTACAATAAACATTCAATCTAGAAATAATTAAAGAGATCTAAAATTAAAAAGTAGTCTAAAGTTTATCACACTAGTACTAAATCACAAAAAGCTGAAATGATACTAATTTTATCAGAAAAAAAGTTGAATTCAAACCAGAAAGCAATTTAAAAAAAATTAATGGACTTTTAAAAAATCATTTTAAGGGTTCTGTACAAAGTGAAACTATTTCCATTTTAAATATATAGAATTATAATTAGTAGAATTATAAAGGAAACCCACAGTTATGCAGGAAGATGTAGTTAAAGAGAGGCAGCATGGTGTGGTAGATAAGGCACTAGACCTGGGATTCAGGAAGACCCAGGTTCAAATCCCACTTCATATATTTACTAGTTTTGTGATCCTGGACAATTCTTATATGTAACCTCTCTGTGCCTCAATTTTCTCATCTCTAAAGTCATAGTGTTGTCTTAAAGGCCTCTGAGGTACCTTTGAGCTCTAAAATCTATGATCTAGAATGATAAATACAATAAAAAGGAAGATATGAAGACATTACATAACTTGAATATTAGTCAAATTAGATCTAATAGGTATGTGAAGATAGTTTAATTAAAAAAAAAAGAAAGAACATTGGTACTTGTTCAGTATTTGTGGGAAGTACAAAAAAATTCATCATATGTTAGACCGCAGAGAAGATAGATAAATGGGAAAACAAAAATTTAATATGCCATATTTATGGATCATAATGAAATCAAACTAGCAAATAACACAATAAAATGTATAGGTCCATGTGAAAACTAAAACAATGATTTTATTAAATAATGACTGGGTCAAAGGGTAAATTATAAAAAAAAATCTTATATCAAATATGTAAATGCATATACTACATATCAAGTCTATGGAATGCAGCCAGAGCTATAGTGAAGCAAAGTTGTAGCTTATAGCCAGGCTTATTTAAATTTCTATGCCCACAATTTTTTTTTTTGGTGGAGGAAATTGGGGTTAAGTGACTTGCCCAGGTCACACACCTAGTAAGTGTCTGAAGCCAGATTTAAACAGACTCCAGAGCCGGTGCTCTATCCACTACTCACAATTTTTTTGAGAACAACTTTGAAAGAACAATTTTTTTTCAGACAGATTTTTGTTTTTGTGATGGTGAATTCTGATCCGTTTGCACTTTAATGAATATTGTTGCCTCAGGTTAGCAAACTGAATAGTAGGATACTTCTTTGTCTTTAAAATTTCAGGCATTGCTTCTGTGGTCATTTTTGTTTCAAAAGAGGAGTCCATCTTCCTATTCTAGAAAATACGTTTTGTTTGTGTTTTTTATGTTCTTTTTTCTTTATCAGAAGTAGATTCTCTTTATAGGTACAGATGATTGTGTTTATTACTGGTTGTGTCCTGGTATTTTTTTGAAATGTAATTTTTATTTTTGTTTTATTGGGTTTTTTGGAGGAGTAATGAGCTTATCTAAACTGTCTTGGCTTTATCTTAACCAGATGCTAGAATTAAGATATTGCTAGGCAATTGCTAAATTTATTGATATGTATATCTCTTAAAAATCTGAATGCCACTGTATTCATAATTAATTGTCTGATATAGTTACATGAAAAAGTAATTGGCATTGTTTTCATGATTTGGCTCCATGTCCTTTGCTGTGTTATTATATTGTTTAAGTAAAGACATTAATCTAATAAACTATGATTGCTGTACTGTTACATAGTTATTCTTTGCGTTAATATGCGCACATGTGAAACAATCTCCAGAAAAGATGAGAACAAAGGCAGCTGAGTTGTACTATTTTACTTTTGGAAAACATAAGGTCTCTTAATATTAGGAATAGACCCAGGCCTTAAGAATGAGGTCATTTTAAGGAGATTGGGCAGGGTGAAAGGATTTGAAAAATGTGCACTTAAGGCTACTAGTGTTAGGTGAGGCAGGTGAGATAACTCAGGAAGTTTTTTTAGTCACACCTGGGAATTTTGACCATCAGATATGCCTGAGGAATTGAAATTCCTTGGAACTTCATACTATCCCAACCTCTAAGGATAAAGAATTGCTTAAAGGGGTAATCTAATCAAAGGAGGCATTCCGATATAGAAACTGAATGTCATAAATAAATTCAGCAATTCCACTTCATCTGTGAGTAAGGCTAAGGCTATACTGAGCCTAGTATTAATGGTAGGTCAATGCCATAAACCTCAAGCCTGACATTTTCTTTGTATAAGAACAACTTCCTCCAATAGAGAAATACTGGGAAATGTGGATTGGACAGACAAGAGTAGGCCTGAAACATTAGAAGGTCCCTGAGCCAGATAAAGTGATGAGACTGACAGAGAGCCTAAGGAGATCACAGCTACAGTAGCAGCTGCAGTAGCAGTGAATAATCTCACTGATGTATGACCAGGTGACTGTCTTCAGGGCCAAGGATGACCTCCTCCCCCTAGCCTTGCTATGGTTTCCTGAAGCTGTATCTGAGAAGATTTTAGCTTCTGCATGACAATGCTCCATTCTTTTTGCTAGTGTATCCAACATAAATATAGACATCTAATCAATAATTACAAGAGAAGATGGATGTTTTACTCTAATGATTACTGGTGGAAGTGTTCTTATGTCAGGTTTTCATGCCCTCCATTCACTCGATCCTCCACCTTGCCAAGGAGAATACAAGTGTGGACTGCACCATCTCTCATCTGGATTGTCTCTAGGTCTGTGCATGTAGCTTAGCACTGGTGGTACTATTGCCCTGCTGTACTTTTCAGAAGGCTTGGGGCCTTCTGAAAATGAACCTTTTGTATTAGGAGTTCCCGTCTCATCTCAGACATTATGGGCAGCAGTTTCTGTATCTAAATAGCTGTAATGACATCTGATAAATGAAGGTCATATATACCATGCCCTGGATCAATCTCCACAGGTCAATTTTACCTGCATTCTCAGGGTCCACAGTGCCTATCTGTATCAATATCTGCACACATTGCTCCAAAATGATGAGGAATTCCACATGGTTTTCTCCTTTGTGCTGTGCAATATTAGAGAAAAAATGAGGATAGACTTCTTCTGATCTGCTCTACAGAAAAATGGACACTGTGGCTCTGATATGTCTGGACCCTCTGATACTCACTGGAGTGTTAGCATGGTTCAGAACTAATTCTAGTCTAAGAAATTTTAGCAGGATATTTCAAGCAACAAGGAGGTAAGAGTTCTGCTGAGAAACTCTGGAATTTAAGTGACTCTGAAGTTAGCCGACCAATGGAAAATTAAGCCATACAAAATTATTGAGAGACTGGGCAACTTGTCTCTTGGCAGAATAGCCCCTAAGAATGGAAGGGGCCCTGTCAGGACTATTCAGCACAAACACTTCTTGACCATGGGAGGATCGCTGGCACTTTGGATGGAGAACTGATGGAGAGAACTGATGGACATTCCCCTCAGGGAAGGCTGAGAAAAAGAGAACATTCGCCAGTTGTACAAGCACTTACTGACTCAAATATGGACACAGAAAGTCATGTATCTAGAGAAGAAGGCTGTGTTTTGTTATAGGGCAGGAGAAATGAACCAGAGGCAACTCCCTTCCTGCCCAAAACTTCTAAGAGACTCTGAGAGCCCAGACTAAACCCATAGGGCATGAACATACTGATAACCAACCTGCTACTGTTGTCAGCCCAGATATAGATAAATAGGTCTATAAGGATCCTGATAAGAGAACTAGACCCCTGAGACCAATCACAAGGCTGAGTTAGGATGTGACAGGTAAACCTGAAAATATGGTTGTACATGTATTGAGGAAGTGATATTAGAGATTGCCCACATGAAATTTGCCTTGTGTATAATTGCATTGTTTATTGCCGTACATGTAAATTACATATTTGAGTGTTCTTATTTCTTCTTTTGCTGCTCAGTTCATTTGATGATGTTTTTCTTATGTTCCTGCTATAGCAAGGTCTGTTTATTCATTGTTTTGTGTATAAACTAATGCTTATGGTCAAGCTGTATTTCACATGTGGGCCTGAAGTTGGTGTTATTGTTGCTACTAGCTACCTTTGCCTTATTAGTCAGCCATGCTTTGTTTACAATTGATTGATATGTATTATGTATATGCACATATGTTTGAAATGTGCATGTGTTATGTCATGCATGTAATTAGGCATGTTGTTACTGCAGTACCCTCCAAAGTGATGCTCTGTATAGAGCCATGTCTATTGCATATATTATTAATGTTCATTTGTTTTACTTTGGTTTCAGTGGTACCAAAAATTGGTTATCTGAGATGCCAGGAAAAATCATCCTTGTTGTTTTACAGTACTGTTGATTGTGTTTATACTATAAAGTTACAGGTTTCAAGCTTGCTTCAGGTAATTTTTGCAAGAGACTTCAAAAAGTTTTGGTTTGGGGAAGGAATGCCATTAGGAGCTAAGACCCATTTGTATAAGACTATCTTTAGTGATGGAGACTGATCACTCTATGCTCTGTGCCTACTTACTGTACCAGAAACTTCACTGAATTTCCTCTTTGGTGAAATTTGGCACTCTCTTTTGGTTAAACTGAGATATCTTATTCCCATTGGGACAGCTCATTCACTCTAGATACTGTCTGCTATATTCTCATCTGTGTAGCTCTTCTGATTTCTGTTCACCAGTGGCTTGGATAAAAGGGTTTATTTTCTAATGGTTATGTGTCGTTTTTGTATACCCAGCATGTGGCCTTGGATATATAGTTTGGGGCACTCCTTCCCCATTAAGGGATAGCAATGAGAAGTGTAGCTTGAACCTAAAAATTATTTTTCCTCGACTAACAATACTTATGGAGGAAAATAGATTATAATCCTAACCCAGGGCCCTTTTTCTGATGAGAGGCCAGCCTCATGGCCCCAATTTCATGTTTCCCTCCTGGCAGGAATGAAACTCTCTTGTAGAAAGGCAAATGAAGGAGTGTCTCCACTCCCCCAACAATCATTGAGAAAGAAACAAAAGCAAACCTCTTGTTACAAACGTAGTTTTAAAAAAATTCTTCCATTAGTCATGTCAGAATATAGATTGAAAAAACTTATTTTGACATGGTTTATCACAAGTCCTCTGGAATCACAGTTGGTCATTGTATTGATCAGAATTCTCAAGTCTTTCAAAGTTGTTTCTCTTTATAATAATGTTGTTACTGTGTTCTCCTGGCTGTGCTTACTTCATTCTGCATCAATTCATACAAGTCTCCCCAGGCTTCTCTGAAACTGTCTCCTTCATTATCTCTTAAAACACAATAGTATTCCATCATGTTTATATACCAAAACTTATTTAGCTGTTCCCCAGTTGGTTGACACTCCCTCAGTTTCACATTCTTTGTCATAGCAAAAACTGCTATAAATATTTTTATATATTTTAGTTAGAGGTTATTTTGCTTAGGACTAATTCCTTCCTTAATCTACCCTCTCTCAATCATCCTGAGGCTACCCTTACTTCTCTTTTCTTAATTTTGTGGCTCTAGCAAGACACAAGTTCCCTGAGCTTAATTTTTCTTATCTGTAAGATGAGGATAATATACTTATATTACCTACTTCCCCATGTTGTTGTGAGAATTCGATGAGATAGTGTATAAAAAGGGTTTTGTGAACCTTAAAATCTCTATGAGTGTTATCCACTATTATTGTAAATATCATCTGCTACACCCAGACAACTTTCCAGAGAGAAATGTCCATGACATTCCTACCTGGTAGATAGAGCATTAAACTTGGAATCAGGAAGACCTGAGTTCCAATCCTGTCTCGAACACTTCATTAATTATGTCCCCAAGTAGATCACTTAATTATTAGCTTCAGTTTCCTCCTCTGGAAAATATAGATAATAAAGCATCTACCTCACAGGGTTGCTGTGAGGATAAAATTAAATGTAGTCAAAGCAGTTCTTAGGGGAAAATTCACATTTCTAAATTCTTTCATCAAGAAAAAAGTTTTGAAGAACAGATCCATGAATTGGGCCTGCAACAATAACAAAAAATCAGAACATAAAAAATTTTAAATGCTAATTAAATACCAAAAAGGAATTTGAAAATCAGAGATTAACAAAATTGGAAGCAAGGGATAAAATAAGATAACATGTAAAGTGCTTTGCAAACCTTAAAGCCCCTATATTATTATCGAGTAACTTTATTATTATTATATAACTAACTATTGTTGTTTTACTGCATTATAAAATGGACAACATTTCAAAAGTTGTCATTTCATAATAGCCAATATCCTCAGGATCCCCCATTTGGAGAAATCTGAGAGACAGATATTCTCTGAATGGAGAAGAGATTAAAGAATTAATGTAGTCCTGAATAAGAGAAATGTCAGCTCTGCCCTCTTGGCTCCAAGTACACTTATGGGCCAGTGCCCATTAAGTCATCCTAACCTTCTAAGATGCTCAGAGTTCACCCAGAGTAACTTTCCTAGAGTTGGCTAGGATCTACATTCTTTGAGCTGAATCAGCTATCTTAGACCATCATTTAATAAACTATTGAACAGTAAACTCTCAAGGGTCCTAAACTTCATTCAGGTCCTTTTCTTTTACTAAGGAATTAGGCCTTTGCTAAAAATGAATGTGTTGAATTCCTAGCATCTCTTAAGATTCAGTGACATTTGAACAAAGCAAAAAAAGGCGAGGGGAGGGGAAGTACATTTCACAATGATCTAATAGGTACTTAATAAATGTTACTGGATGGAATTTGTTAAACTGAAATTATCAAGAAAGGTGGGGAGGTTTCATACCTTGGTTCAGAATGAAATTGGAGAAGGACCATCGGAATTAGTGACCTTCAGTCCTTTGACCATTGCCTGGTGTTCTGACCAGCTCTGGTGGCTACCAGTCAAGGTTAGAACCGAGCCCTGGAGTCAGGTGGATCCCACTGGGACTCTGTGGAGAACTACCTGTTGGCAAAGTGATTCGATTCACATTCATTGAGAAGAGTGCATGAAGACAGGTCATCTATTATGGAAAAACAACACTCAGTTGGGGACGCTGATTTGATGCCATGGCCTAGATTGCATTCTAGAGCAGAGTGATAGAGGATAAACAGATGACTCAGTCTTGAAAGTCCCAGAGCCTGAGTCAGTAGCAGTCACAAATATCCATGCCTCCTATTTTTACTCCTCTCCACTATTTAACTGATGCCTTCTAAATATCACTCTTTATAGATCTTGCCACCCCTCCCACCCGCCTCAGCTTTGAGTCCCCAAAGCTAGTAAGCATTGTTTGCTTCCCTCAAGATTTTCTTTGTCTTTGTTCTTCTTATCTATGATGTGCTAGTAATCAGAATTCCAACCTGCTAAAGGTTGCTCAGGTCTCAGTAATTGAGCTGCCAGAGACAAACTCCCCCTCCCCCCAAAAAATACTTTAGCCCTTCAGAAAGCCCAGTCCCATCACCCACTACCCCCTTGAAACATCCCCCTACGATAATATCCTGCTTCTATTGCCTGAGCCATGAAAGCTGAGACTGTGTCAGTTTTCATCTTTTTTAAGCCATGTGTATTATAGGGGCAAATGTTTGTTGAATGAATGAGCAAAGGTGAGTCATGGAAAGGAATTTTCAGGACACAAAAATGCAGAAATTTGATAACTAACCGTAAGGTTTATCAATGTCTTTTGTGTGTAGAGAGAAAGAGAGCAAATACTACATGTAGAGAAGGGGCCCAAAGTGTGGAGTAAAGCTTCATGTGTTACCAGGGGTTGATGTTGTGTAGGTCAAAGGGAGGTAGATATCTCTAGCCTCTTCTCCCCTGACCCTTCTCCAAGGGAGACTTTCATTCTTGCCAGGAGGAGAAGCAGGAAGTTGGGGCTGGAGACCAAGGTGCTCTTCTCAGAGAGAGGGGGCAGTGGCCTAGAAGTATATCTATCTGTGCCTTTAAACAGTTACTCTAGGGGATATGATTGTGCTCCATCTAACTTCTGATTGCTTTGTCATTTGGGGGGGAGGACCCCACATTCTATATCCAAGGCTTGACCTCTTTCTTCTCCAGAAGACATAGATTATCAAATGTACACAAATAGGCTCCAATATGTTCATTTGGTAGGACTCACTGGTGATTAAATTTAGATTTAAATAAAGAGTGATTTATTTAGGGGAAGCTAAAAGTCCCAGACCTCATTTTTAATGGAAAAGGAAACTTATTTCTAAAAATAGGAATATTCAAGATTCAATACATAGAGTCATCCTTGACACTTCCCTTTCCTTGGACTTCCATCCCCAACCAATTGCTAAATGTTGTTAATCCTGTCTTCACAGTATATCTCACATTTGTTGTCCCTTTCTCTCTACTCAATCCAGACTGGGTTCCTCATCATTGCTCACCAGGACTACTGTAACAGCTTTCTAATTCTTTCAGCCCTAAGTCCTAGAGGGTTTGTTTTTGCTTACCTTTGGAACATCGTTTTGCATCGAAGTGGGAATATATTACACCAATCCTCATTCCTGTATGCTGCACTGTCCTCTTATTTCACTCTTGCTCCCATGCCTCTTAGGGCTGGGTAGGAGATGAAGAATGTTTTTTCCAATGATGGCCAAGTCATACCCTCATAGAACTCTTCCTTCACAGAGACTTACTGCTGTACACCAAGTCTTTCATTCATGTTTCATTAGTATTTATTAAGTACCTACTATGTGGCAGCAAGCCATAGTGGATAGAAAGGTATCTTCAAAAGCCAAGATGAAATGGGTTCAAGTCTCTCCTCTGATGCATCCTGGCCATGTGACCCTGGGCAGGTTGCTTAGCCTCTTGGTCCTCTCGCCAACTTTCTAAGGCTGTAAGTTGTAGAAGGTGCCTACCAGAATTGGTAGAGAGAGTTTCCTTGCTTAGACGTCCTCTCTACCAAGAAAACCATAGGTTCAGTCCACCATTCTTATAATACTATGGGCTAGACACTGGGTTTGGTTAGACAAAAACAGAGTTTTTCCCCTTAAGGATTCTACATTCTACTGGGAAGAATCAGAATATATACAAATAAATGCTAACTATACATTCACACACACACACACACACACACAGAGTAATTTCAGAGACATGCTAACAACTAAAATTACAAAAGGTTTCTTATTTCTTATAGGGGATGACATTTAATGACCATTTCTTTCTTCATGCAGAAGATTAAGACTATTCCAAATGAACTTTTCTTGAATTTGTCTTTTGTTGTTTAGTTGTTCACTCATTTCTGATGCTTTGTGACCCCGTTTGGGGTTTTCTTAGCAAAGATACTGGAGTGGTTTACCATTTCCTTCTCCAGCTCATTTTATAGATGACAAAACTGAGGCAAACAAGGTCAAATGACTTATCCAGGGTCACAAAGCTAGTAAGTGTCTGAGGTCACATTCGAACTCAGGAATATGAGTCTTTCTGACTTCAGGCCTAGTCCTTTATCTACTGTGCCACCTAGCTACCCTACTTGTGTCTTTACCTTGACACATTTCCTTGCATCTGTCAACTCTGCTGTGGTAATATTGTGCCTATAGGCATTATCACAAGTATTGAATCATCTGGCTCCATATGATGGGAAATGAAGACTTTATGGTAGTTTTAGTCTGAGAAGAATTAGTTTATTGAGAGAAAATGTTCTCAGAAAATGTTGTGCCTTTTGTAAACAGCCTCTTGCCTCAGGACAAGGAATGTGTAAGTTCCTAAAGGCAGCTGACACCCAGAATGAAGAGGCTAGGGGTTAGGGTGATACAGAGTCAGAGATAAGAGCACATGGCCTTTGTGTAGGAAATTTATCTTGATGAGGGCTGGGTGGTAGGGCAAAGCTATGCAGTTTGTACATAGGGTAATTTCTGCCATGTGGTGCTATTTCCACCTACCATTGTTTTCCTCACAAATTAATATTTCTAAAAATGCATGCATACATGAATGAATGAATGAAAAACATTTACTAAGGATTTACTATGTGCCAAGCACCATGTGGCACAAAGTGGGGCGACAGGGTCAGATCTAAAAAGACAACAACATGGAAATTGGTTAGAAGAAAGAGATCAGAAGTTTAATTTAACCCATGAGGGAAAAAAAGAAAAATGAAGAGGGAAAATTTGAGGCATGAGGACATAGCCAATGAATCATAAAATAAAATTCATAGAATAGATTAGAAGGGAAGATAAATAATAAGGCCAAAATGCAGGCAAACTTCTTAGAAAGGGGTACAGTGATGGAAAATTACTAAAATTAAGAGGCCACATGAGAAGAGGAGAGAGATTTTTAGCTAATTGAATAACTGAATAGAGAAGAGAAAGAACAAAAGACAGGGAGAAATAATGAATGAGAGAGAAGATAAATAATTTAAGCACAATCAAAAAATTTGGGAAAGAATAGACAAATAGGAGTGGAGGAGAGAGTCCATGGGAATAGATTAGCATTAAAGTAAAACTAATCATAGGGACAGAGTAGGAAGTTAAAAAAAAAGATTTTTAAGAGCAACTTTAAGGAAGTAAATGAGGAAAACACAAGTCTAACAATCACAACTTCAAATATGAATGGATTAAATGATACTAAAATTAAAAAGGATGGCAGAATGGATAAGAAAACATAAGCCAACAATCTCTTGTATATAAGAAGTACATCTAAAAAGTAAAGACACATGCAAAATGAAAATGAGAAACTCAAACAAAATTTACCAAGTATTAGCTAAGTCCAAAAAACCTGAAAACTTGTAACATGTTGTCAGGAAAAAAAAATTTACACCACCAACAGAAATAAATAAGGAAGTTATATTTAAAGGACCTATAGATAACATACCAATATTAGTATTAAATACATATTCGCCACCTGGAATAGCATTGAGATTCAAAACACAGAAGCTAAATGAAAAACATATAGATAGTAATACAATAATATCAAGAAACTTTACATTTCTTTTTGCAGACCTAGACAAATCTACTAAAAGGAAAATTAGAGAAGTGAATAATCTATTGGAGAATTTAAAGCTGAAAGACTTCTGAGTTGGACATATATGTATTTTTTCAGCACAATTCTCTGTTTACAAAACTAGACAATGCACAAAGGCACAGAGAAATTATAAATAAATGTAAAATAAAGCATAAATACTAACCTCATATCTTATAGATCAAAATACAACAAAAATATCAATTAATGCTAGGAACATAAGCAAAAAGATATAGACCTACATAGGAACTTTATCATAACATCTGAATCTATTAGTGGGTAAAGGGACAAATCATAGAATCAATATTTATATGAAGAGAATGATAATGATGAGATAAAATAGCAAAATTTCTGTGATACAGCTAAAGCAATCCTCATAGGAAAAAATATATATCCCTGAGAACATATATCAACAAAATAGAAAAATGAAATAATAAACTAAATATTTTTAAATTAGAAAATAAACTCCAAATAAGCAAACAAAAAGAAATCTTTTTTAAAAAACAGAGGAGAAATAGATAAATTGGGAGATGAATCACATCCCTTTCCCACAGTAGCCAATCATGGGACTTGTCTTCTGTAAAACCATACCCATACCATGTCTTCCATCTATTGTTCAATCTCCCAACTTCCTCTTTCTAACTCTAGTCTTGGTCCCTCAAGGTAGTAGAACACAGCCACACCTGGGCCTCTATAACAGCAGCTGCACAGGTGCCAATGGGAAAATACCCCATTCCCCAACACAACAATCTGCCATCCTCTTCCCCCACCCCATCCTTCTCCACATCATCTCATGGCCTCAGCCCACACCTCTTAGAGCGAAGGCTTTGCTTTGAGGAAGTGAGCACTGATTAAGAGTCCCACCTCCTCACTTTCATTATGGATAGGAGAGTGACTCACACAAGATGACTAAGCATGAATGTATTGCAACATATCACAAATTTCTTTATAATATTTTCACCCAAAAATATATTTTTTCCCTCCCAGACTCACCCCTCTTCCAAACTTCACCATTACTGTTGAGGGTACCACCACCCTTCTGGACATCCAAGTGTCAACCTTGGGGTCATTTTGAATTCCTCATCCTCCCTTACCCCACATATCTAATAAGTTGCCAAATTCTATCTCTAACCCTACCTCTCTTTCATCTGTTCCCTTCTCTCTACTCACACAGCCACTCCAATGGTTCAAGCCCTCACTACCTCTCACTTGAACTGTTGCAATCTATCCCCCTGTATCAGTCTGCCCCACCACTAAAATCCATCCTCTACACAGCTGTCAAAGTAATTTTCCTAAAGCTCAGGTTTGATCATTTCACTCCGCTACTCAATAAACTCCAGTAGCTCTCTATGGACTTTAGGATCTACTGTTATTTCATATTTATTTCATTTTTTAAAAATTTCTAATTTTTTGTGTTTTGAATTGCACATAATCATTAGTATAGTATACTGTACAGACTATCTCTCCTTGAGAGCAGACTATTTTTTTACCTTCCTTTGTATGCCCAGAGCTTAGCACAGTTCCTGACACATAGCAAGCACTTAATAAATGTTCAGTGATTAATGTGAAATTTATAAATAATTATACCCATATTAGGGATGCCACTCAAAAATTTTTACTGATGATATGCACAAATGAAAAAATTTGGACAACACCAATCTAGTCCAACTTTTTCATTTTGAAGATAAGAAGTTTAGTCTCCTGGAAGTTTAGGGGCCTACCCAAGGTCATAGAAAAGGTTTGAAAGCCAGATTCTCTAAGCCCAGTACTGTTTCCACTGTACTTTGCTGCTGCTTCCAACTCATGCTATCTAAACATGAAATTCCCAGAATTCCCTTCTCCTTTTTTGCCTCACAGTTGCATTTACTCTTGGCTTGCAAGCATAGTTTGTTACCTACTTAGCTATCTTCTAGCATACATTTTTAGAGCCTTGGAGACAGACCTCTACAGGAAGGGCGACGTTTTTGGAACCTGGCTACAGGGCTTTCTGGGAGATGTAGTCTCAGTTCTACTTCCGTGTCCAGTACAGGTTTCCTCTACATGTTCATCCATACGAAGGTTTCTTATTAAGAGTGTTAACTCCCAGTGGGACAGTGTCTCTCACTGTGTTGGGATGTGGCATAAACTTAATAAATGCTCTGGATACTGATGATAACTGTTCTATGAGTTTATTTGATATGTTAATGGAAAAGGATGACTGAGAGGATGTTGGATCTAAAAAATCATGGATCTAAAAAAAACAAAAACAAACTTTGAATATTCAGTACTTTAAAAATCCATGATTTCACAAATTCAAAGGAATTTTGGAGAGGTATAGTTTGGTGAAGACAGGTCTTGGTTTAGTATAAAAATGGGAATACCATGATAATGTGTTTTAGTGTAACAAATGGTTTGAATAACTGACACAATCTGCTAAGATGGGAAATTATTTTCAGCCAAAACCATGGTATGTGGATACTTAAAAGTCATCAAAATTGGTAGAACTGTGTTTATCAGCCTGGCTCTTCTCCTTTTTGTTTTTGTCTCATTATTTTTTTGGGGGGGGGGGGGGGCAATTTGGGGTTAAGTGACTTGCCCAGAGTCACACAGCTACTGAGTGTTATGTGTCTGAGGCTGGATTTGAACTCAGGTCCTCCTAACTCCAGGGCTGTTGCTCTATCCACTGCACCACATAGCTGCCCCTCATTATTCTTCAGTAAGGCTTCTGGGTAAGTTTGACTTAATAGCCTGGATTAAAGAAAACCAAAAAAAAAAATATCTGTAACTGATTTTGGTTTAAAGGACAATTTTTTTTTTACATTTTGAACTGATCATAGAATAAGATATCATTGAAGGCCTGAAAGCACATAAGGAGATAACATGACAATATTCTTAGTTAATGACTTAATCATAGAACTAGAAAAGACCTTAGATATCATCTAGTCCAGTCTTTTCATTTTACAGCTGAAGAAACTGAGAACCAGAGAAGTGAGATAACTTGCTCAAGATAATTGAGCTAGTTAGTGGAAAAAGCAAGAATATAGCCCAGATATTCTGATTACTGGTCTAGTAATACAAATGTGAGATAATCTGAGGCTAAAACAAGGATTTAGCTATTGGATACTCAAAGCTAACAAGAGCTGGCCCTGCTTAAAATGTGTCTGTCCATGTTTCCTTTTCAATATTGCTCCCCTTCCACACTCCACAACTAAACATTGTCTTTCTCCTAGGACTTTAGCCCAACTTGTGCAAGCTATTACGGGAAGGATGTGCCAGGCACTGTGCTAAGTGCTTAATAAATAATATATAATTCAATCCAGGGTAAATGACTGGCTCAGGTTACATAGCTCGTAAGTGTCTGGGGCAGGATTTGAACTTAGGTCTTCCTGACTCCAGGCCCAGCACTTCATCTACTGTGCTACCTACCTACCTATTACCAAGCTCTTAGTTATTGTCCTTCTATGATTGAGTCTGGCAAAACTTAACTATTCCACTTCTTATCCCTTTGGAGCCAGGCTTTCAATGCCTTCTGGGAGAACATGGACAAGACTTAACTCAAGACGAGACTATGGGAATGAGTTGCACTGTCACCACTGAAAGGAGTATCTACATTGATGGGCAGATCCATTTACCCATTAATTTATGAAAGTAAATGTGAAGTCCTGTACTTGGTTTCAACAACAGTATTAATGTACGTATGGAAGAGGGCTAGGGGAAAACCTCCAACGTCTCTTACCTTCCAGATAGTATAAAGCATTTGGACAGGGGCTTTCTTGAGACGATTCCTTAGCAAAAGAATGATTCATCGTCTGAGTTTCAGGCCAGGTAGGAAGGGAGGATGGCTGTACAACAGGTCAGAGTGGGAGATCTTTGAAGTTAAGAGGGGTCCTTGCAGTGCCAAATCTCACTCTATGGGTAATGTCAACCAGACCAAACCAGCCTCTAACCTGTGGATGGCAGGAGCAGAACACAGCAGGCTAGAGACAGGAGAATCAGGAATCAAACAGAAGTTTAATTTCAAAGTGAGGGAAACAGTTCTCAAGCAAGGTGGGGAATCTAGACACATGTGCCAGGGACACTCCCCTAGTTGGGGGGAGACCTGAGGCAGTATGGGGAGATCTCAATACTTACCCCAACAGTTGCGCAGTGAGCTGTAGCCCTGACAATGAGGGGTAACGGTAACAATGTGACAAGTTTGATTCATAGCAGGGCTTCATGACCAGAACATGGGTACTTGTTTGAGCTCAGAGAACACCTGGTGTTGGTCAAAGCAGTACAATAATTATGTGATTTTGCCAGAGGGTGAGACCATCCAGAGGGTAAGCTCAAAGAATTGTTGTTATGCCAAGCTCAACACATAGCTGGCTTGTTGGACCTTAGCTCTGGAAAACAAGCTGTCTCCTAATGTTTTGACCATAACTACCTGTTTGCCTTAGACTTATGATTCATTTCTTTGTTTCTGGAAAATTAACTTTGTTACAGTTAGTCTAGAAGAAGAAACTTTTTCCATTATACATTGATTTAGACTTTTCAGTAGAAGATACCCACTCCATATGTTGGTTTATATTCCTCAACACATTCATCACAGATCTCTCTAAATTGTGCTTTTCAGCAGGATTTATGGGTATTGTCAACAGAAAATAGAGTCTTGCACAGACTTTGAATTATGTTGTCATTAAAAAGGGCACAAAAAGTCTATCCAGTGACTCAGTAGGCAGGATATTACCACATGAAAGTGGTGAAGTGAGAAGAATGCTAGACCTTAAGTTAGGTCTTTGTAATAGAGTTGCTGAAGTAAAAATTATTTTCTTCCAGATGCATTCTAGGCTGTGCACATACATATATGAAAAGCTGAATTTAAGGAATAATAGCAATAATTTGAAATTATATTAGGCTTGATGATTACAAAGCACTTTAGACTCATGAAATATAGCTCATTTGAGCTTCACAACAATCATGGGAAATATATAGTGCTCAGTATTATATCTCTGTTCAACGAAGTAGGAAAGTGAAACTTGGAAAGGTTAAAAGTCTTGTCCACGACACGATCACAAAACCATAAGTGGGAGAGCTGAAATCCAAATCCACGTCTTATTTCAAGTTTTTGTATACTTTCCAGTAGAGCATGGTGCAAGAGTTTTCTTGGCTTGTGGAAAATGATGATTTGTAACAAAAAGGATTCTTTCGTTTTCTAGAATGATTCATCAAGAAATCCTGTTCATTAGTCATAGGTCATAGGATTAATTAACTAGTCCAGTGGTTATCAAAGTGTGGTCCAACTCTGTCTTTTTGCTTGTATTTCTATCTGTAGTGCTTAGTAAAGTGCCTGGCACCTAGTAAGCCCTTAATAAATGCTTGTTACCTGCCTATTTAAAAGAAAGCAACCAAAATGGTGAAAGGCCTTGAGTCCATGCCATAGAATGATTTGTTGAATGAAGTAAAGATATTTAGCCTGGAGAAGAGAAGACTCCAAGAATGTGATGACTTTCTTCAAGTATTTGAAGGTCTGTTGTATGGAGGATCAATTAGATTTATTCTGTTTGACCTCAGAGGGCAGACCTAGAAGCAATGGGTAGAAGTTATAGGGGCAAATTTAGGCTTGATGTGAGGAAAAACTTCCTAAAAATTAGACCTTTCCTCCAAAAGTGAAACATTGGGAGGTGGTGCATTCCCTATTACTTGAGATCTTCAAAGAAGGATTGGACAATGACTTGTCAGGTGTATTGTAGTAGAAATTCTTTTTATTGTTTGGGTTGGAGTAAATGGCCATTGAAATCCCTGACCAATTTCAAATTCGCTGATTATGATTCTATAAAGGGTCACTAAGTCATCCTTTCTAGTACCACTTGGTTCTGCTGTTGGGGATCCTTAATAGTTTTCCTCTTTCATGTTTGGTGGCACTCAGCAAAAATGTCATCCAGGGCATGCGTTGGCACACTCTGACATTCAAGTAAATCATACTCTAGGTGACTTTTGCTCAATTTCAAATGGGTAGCCATTAATTTTAAGGGGGTAGAAGTGATAATCTGGAAAATGCCATTTACAAAAGACTGCTCTTCCTAAATACATCATAAATTCCCTGAAGAGCATTGCCTAAATCATTAGTTTGGTGTGTTTTTCCTCTCCTCCAAAAAGACCAAGTAGATTTCTTTATACTACAGAAGAATCCGAATTCTGTTAGTAGCAAAACTCATGTTATCTCATCTTGTTCTCTAAACAGTATATAACAGCTCGGTTGCAGTGATATGATGCAGCATATCCCATATTATCAGTAGTGCTCCAGTACCTCTGATACAAGCAGGATGAGTTCATATTTTCACAAGATAGCCTTATATGATGACCCAAAAAAGGGGAAGAACGACACTGCATAACTAGCAGTGGCACTGGGTGGTGGTAGGGCTTTGCTAAGCAAGTGAGCAGGAATTGTCGATCCTCTTATTTACTCCCACGCTTGTTTATAAGGGCTGGATCTGTCTTTCCCAGCCTTGCCCTAGCCTCCTCCCCACTGCCATTGCTTTTTCCTCCAGTTTTTGGCTCTGGAAGAATGATTTTCCTTTCAAAATGGCTGAGGGAAGACAATAAGGAAAAATGGCTGAGTCCCAGTGCACCATGACCTCTTCCCACTGAAACTGCTGACTCATTTTGCCGAGAAATATCTGGCACTACATTTCCTTTCTTTGCTCTGGGTATTTGTAAAATGGAATCAATAGTTTTCTCATTTATAACTTGAAGACCCCTAAAATAGCCCTGATGAATATATGTTGCAATTAAAAAAATTTTTTTTCTTTCTTCCAGGCATTCTCCTTCTCTTTTCTTCGCGTATTAGTAATGAAACACAAATCAGAGAACAAAGAGGTTAGCCTTATTTATCTTGGGGGGGGGGGACCTTAAAAGAAAAATAAAGAAAACAAGTTCTGAGGAAATGGAGATTCACAAACAAGCATAGTATGGTCTTAAATAGATGCATATGAATATATATGTGTATATATGTGTATATATGTGTATGATTATAGATATCTATGTATATGTAAGTATATATATTATGTCTATATATGTTTGTGTGTATAGGTATGTATGTGTATATATATGTGTGTATATGTGTATGTATATGTGTGTGTGTGTATTCATGCTTAACTGTAGCCTTCTTAGGGGTGAGGGAGAGGAGGAGGAAGGGGAAAAAAAAGAACAAAGTAAAAAGTGCACAGCAGAGAACAAAATAAAATCCTACAAGGAAGTAAAGAAAAGATGGACAGCTCTGAACACAATGTAGAGTATTTGTTATATAGGCTTTCTTGAAAGGGAAATTTATTGCTTCATATTTTGAATCTTCTCTTATGTTTGCTGTGCATATGGCAATTTTTTTTCTTATTTTGTATTTAAGTTTGTTTCTTTTTCCTTTCTTATTTTTTATTTCATTTAAAAATTTTTTAAATTTACCAGAAAAAAAAAAGAAGTGGAAATTGGGAAATCAAACACATTTCTCCCAAAAGAGAGGAGAGCATGGGGAAGTACCAGTGTTGGTCTCAGTAATTCGTACAATTTCAACAAACCCAGAATATGCTTCATGTCTATGGTCAATAGCTTAACCAGATAGTCTCTTTCCTGTTTCAGCCATCAGTGGTAGGTGTCCTGCCTCTCAATCCAGCCCACCTCATGTGCTGGAAGGGGTGTTTCCCAATCTACTTCTCTTCCTCTCAGTCCTTCTCTTCCCCCTCCCCAATGAAGGGAGGGACTGGCTTGGTGTCAGATTTTGGCTTGGTCAGTCCAGGGTCGGAACTAATTCTCTACGTGTCAAAGAAAGGAACTCTGGGGGATTTCTGTCCTAATCAGCAGACCTCCGATTGAAGCATACTTATTTCTTTGGCAGCCCCAAAGGACACTACACATAGAGTCTAGAGAAAGGAACACAGGAGATAGATTAAAACAGGAAGTAAATAAGACAAAATTGCAAGAGGGTAGTTAAGAGTCCTATATTGCAGAACCAGATGTCTTTTTCTTCCATTTCTTACAAAGAAAATTATCAATATCTTTTATTTTTAACACCATTATTTCTAAATATTTTTGCTCCTTGTTCCTCTGCCTGGAGATCTATTCTGGGATGTAATAAAGAATAAAGAGAGATGAAGAATGTCACTTCAGTAAAACCAAAGAACATTTCAGCTGTGCCAGACAATATATATGTAATATTCCATACCTATCATGTCTGCAAAGATGGGAGGGAAGCTCATTTTCTTATCTTTTTCAGGTCCAAGTTTCTTGGTCTTTTATTCTTTTATTCTTTACATTTACATTGCTGTAATGATTAAATATGTTGTTTTCCTGCTTCTGCTTACTTTACTCTTCATTATTTCATATGTCTTCCCATGCTTCTTTGTCTTCATATTCATTGTTTCTTATGTCTAAGTAATGTTCCATTACCTTTATTTGACACTCTTTGTTTAGCCATTCAGCAGTCCACAAGCATCTACTTTGTCTCCAGGTCTTTGCAACCACCAAATATACTGCTTTGAACATTTTAGTTTATATGAGACCTTTCTGCCTCTGACCTCTTTGGAATTTATGCGTAGTAGTGGAATATGAGTTGAAGGCCATTGACATTTTTGTCACTTTTTTTTAAGCACAATAAAAAATTGTTTTTCAGAATGATTGGACAACATCATAGCTCCACTAATAGTAGTGGGTCTTTTTGCAGCCCCTCCCACATTGAGTATTTACATCAGCTGTTATTCTATTGGGCTTATTAAACTCAAAAGAGAGCTTGTTGTGTCTTCAAAATTCTATTATTCTCTGTTTTCTTTTTCTCAATGTAAAGTACAAAAGCTGATACAAAATATTGCTCCCTGGTGATATTTCAAACACTTAGGCAATTCAACATTGAACACTATTCTTCTATTTTCCCCCTACAAAAAAAGTAGCCATAAATCAAACCCTATCTTTATTTTTCTTT